TAATAAATTAGGCCTGACATGGTGGCTCACGCCTGTAATCCCAGCACCTTGGGAGGCTGAGGTGGTCGGATCACCTGAGGTCTGGAGTTGGAGACCAGCCTGGCCGACATGGTGAAACCCCATCTCGGTTAAAAAATACAAAAATTAGGCCCAGCATGGTGGCTCACACCTGTAATCCTAGCACTTTGGGAGGCTGAGGCGGGCAGATCACCTGAGGTCAGGGGTTCAAGACCAGCCTGGCCAATATGGCAAAACCCCATCTCTACCAAAAATATAAAAATTAACCAGGCGTGGTGGTACACCCCTGTAATCCCAGCTACTTGGGAGGCTGAGGCAGGAGAATCATTTGAACCTAGGAGGTAGAGGTTGCAGTGATCCCAGATAGTGCCACTGCATTCCAGCATTGGCGACAGAGCAGGATTCCATCTTAAAAAAAATAATAATCCTTTGCTTATTAAAAAAAAACAAAAATCCTTTGCTAGAGAATGGCTGTTTTAGGAAAGCAGCCATAAACTAGGTTTGGATTCAGAAGCTCTAAGACAGAAATAGAATATTCAGTCGTTTTGGTTTTGGTTTTAAGAAATGGCACCTTGTTCTGTTGCCCAGGCTACAATAAGAATATTTAGTAGTTTTAATTTTGATCTGAACAAATGAAAAATGACAAAAAAAAATAATAATAATTAGCCTGGCATGATGGCACACACCTGTATTTCCAGCTACTTGGAAGGATGAGGTGGGAGGATTGTGCTTGAGCCTGTCAGGCTGAGGCTGCAGTGAGATGTGATCACGCCACTTCACTCCAGCTGGGGTGACAGAGCAAGACCCTGTCTCAAAAAAAAAAAAAAAGAAAGAAAAAGCCTGTTTTAGACCCACTCCATAATGACCAACTTGAACCAAGCTGTTTCCTCTTCTGCTTGGATAACTGCAGTGGAGCCCCCACCAGCCTCCCTGATTCCCTGGTCCCTTGTCATTTTCTCAACATCACTCCTCTGCTCAAAACCAATAGTGAGTGGCTGCCTCTCCTCCTTCCCCAAGTAGGAGCCAAAGTTCTTACCACGGCCTGCAGGGCTTTAGGTGTGCTCCCCACCCTCCCACTCTGACTCACTTCCTACTTGCTCTCTCTACTCCAGCCACACTGGCTTTCTTGCTGTTCCAAGTAATCTACTGCCTTGGGGCCTCTGCCCTGTTTTCTCTGCCTGGAATGCTCTTTCTTTGGATATCCTTAGCTGTAGCATGGTTCACTCACTTCCTTCAAGTCTTTGTTCAAATGCCACTTTCTGAGGAAGGCCTCTGGGCTTTCTTGTTTGCCCTCCCAGCTCCCATCCATTTTCTGCCCTTTTATACCCTCTCCTGAGCCTGGGGAGAATAACCCCTATAGAAAGCACATGGGCTTTTTTGCCTCAGACTTCTGAGTGGGTTCGGTGAATGGGAGTTGCCACCAGGAGATGAAAATCAAGAGGGGGAGACACTGGGTATTTTTTTCCTGCACTTTCTCTGCTCCGCTCTGGGCAGTGGCTGTGTCTTCCTTGACCACAGCTGCATTTGGGAGTGGATCCCACACTTCCCTATCCCCTTAGACTCGGACTTCCAATAACACGATTTCCTCTTTGTCCTAAGTCCTCAAAATAGTCATGCCTCCCAGCTCTTGCTTGTCTCTGGTGCCTCAACAACCCTGCTGTCCGGATTCCTGAACCCTGCCCATTTTTCTAGTCCCTTCCTTAAGATTTGAATCTCTTGAGTTCAATTCTGTCTCCTGCTAGACACTGACTGGAACACCTGTGAATCACTTTATTTCCAATTTCCAATTCCAATCCCAATCCTCTCCCTCCCCTGCTTTTTTGAGATAGGGTCTCACTCTGTGCTGCTGGTGGGAATGTAAAATGACGAAGTCTCAGCCAGGCATGGTGGCTCACGCCTGTAATCCCAGCACTTTGGGAGGCCGAGGCCGGCAGATCACTTGGGGTCAGGAGTTTGAGATCAGCCTGGCCAACATGGTGAAATCCCATCTCTATTAAAAATACAAAAATTAGCTGGGCATGGTGGCTTGCGCCTGTAGTCCCAGCTACTGGGAGTCTGAGGCTGAGGCAGGAGAATAGCTGGAACCCGGGAGGCAGAGGCTGCAGTGAGCCGAGATAGCACCACTGCCCTCCAGCCTGGCACCTGGCGACAAAGCGAGACTGTCTCAAAAAAAAAAAAAAAATGGCGCAGTCACTATGGAAAACAGCCTGGTGGTTCCTCAAAAAATAAAGCAGGCTGGAGTACAGTGGTGCCATCGTAGTTCACTGCAGCCTCAACCTCTTGGGCTCAAGCTATCCTCCCGCTTCAGCCTCCTGAGAAGCTGGGACTACAGGTCCCTGCCAGCAGGCCTGGATAATTTTTTTTTCTCGTATTTTTTGTAGAGACGAGTGTCTTGACATGTTGCCCAGGCTAGTCTCAAACTCCTAGGCTCAAGCCATCCACCCACCTCAGCCTCCTAAATGAGATTACAGGCGTGAACCACAGCTCCGCCCCCCCCCTCGCCTCCCCACAGTGTCCTTGTTCTTGTATGCAGAGCATGTTACCATCTAACATATTGTATTTCCACTTATTTCTTCACTTTCCTCTACCCTCCACACTGGATGGCAAGTCCGAGGGCGCAGGGATGTTTGTTCACTGTTGTATCTGAAGTGGTTGGCACATCGCCGGCTGTCAGCAAATGTTTATGAAATGAATGAATGAGTGAATGACCTACAAGGGGAGCTAAGGAGAAGGAAGCGGTGCGGTCCGCGTCTCAGGCAGGCAGAAGAGCTGACTCTCCAATCTTTGCTCTTCTACCTGCCTCCGCCCGGAATGCTGAGTGCCCGGGAAGGAGGCGGAAATGAGCGCGCTTAACAGCCCTCCCGCCCGGTGTTTACTTAATTAGGGCCTGTATCCCGAGGCTCGTTTGTATTTAACCGTCCGCCTAATGGCTTCATCTGGCTCCGGGCGGGCGCGGGGGAACCTGCCAGGCGAGGGTAGGCCTGGCCGTCCCGTCCCGTCTGGGGCCCACTCCATTGCGCCGCGCGAGTGCGCGGAGACCTACCTTCCCGGGTGCACGGAAAGCTCCCTGCGGGAGATCCAGGCCGGGAGGGGCGGAGCTCAGTGAGCAGCCCCAGGCTTTCCCCCAGCGTGGTCCACCCCCAGCCTCAGTCCCAGCCCCAGCTGTTGGTCTCAGCTGCCGGATAAGGGAGTGCTCTCGAGGTACCAGATGCCAGTTGCTCGTTGTACCCTCAGCCATGAAATTGGAGGATGACGACGCTTCTCATTCTCTTAATTCGGGGGATTTAGGGGTGCTAGAAAGAGCCAGGCATCTGAGAGCATTAATACTAGGCAGCATTTGGGCACTCGCTCTGTGCCAGGTACTGAGTTTAGCGTTTTAAACCTGCTAATTTATTTAATACTCATCTATGAGAGGGTAAAATATTAAGATCATAGCAGCCCCATTTCACAGATGCAGAACTGAGGCCCAAGGGGTTCATTTCACTTGCCAGAGGCTTCAGCGCCAGTAAGGGGTGGGACCCAAGTTTGAACTCAGGCGGAGCCGGCTTAGATCCCATGCTAGGCCTGAGAGCAAGACCCCCACCATAGCAACGCAAGCAGTCCATCGCTTAGCCACAGGCCTGGCGGGAAGGAGGACGGGTAGGTTAACAGGTTAGCCCTTGAAGGTCAAAGAAGCTATCATTTAAAACTCCAAGCCAGGCGCAGTAGTTTATGCCTATAATCCCAGGATTTTGGGAGGCCAAGGCGGGCAGATCACCCTAGGTCGGGAGTTCGAGACCAGCCTGGCTGATATGGTGAAACCCCCCTCTCTACTAAAAACACAAAAATTAGCCGGGCATCGTGGCGGGCGCCTGTAATCCCAGCTACTCGGGAGGCTGAGGCAGGAGAGTCGTTTGAACCTGGGAGGTGGAGGTTGCAGTGAGCCAAGATCCCTCCACGGCAGGGGGCGACAGTGAAACCCCATTTCAAAAAAACAAAAAACAAAAATCCCTTCCAGTTAGTTCCTCAAACCCCTATATCAGAGTTGGGGAGGAGGGAGAAGGACCAGGAGGCAGCATCCAGGGCTTCTCGAGGCAGGAGGAGAAGGCGGGGGATGAGTGAGGGGACCGGCGAGAGAGACTGGCCGGGGAAAGCTCAGCTCCGTGGGGAAGGGCTTGCGCGATAGTGATTGAGACTCAGGACCGTTTTTATGGCCAAGGCCCACATGTTTGCGGCAAAGAGGAAAAGCACTTCAGGTCTAATGTGGTGGAATGAGAGTAACCTAGAGGAACGAATCCCAGGTCTGGCGTTTATCTCCTAGGAAGAGTGTGGGAGAGCTGTTTTCGAAGGGAGACTCGGGAGGCTGCTTTGCACAGCAAGCAGTTTTTACTCAGCTTATATACAGTCTTTCAGACCAATTTCAAAACCTCTGCGTTTTAAAAATTGCCTTTATTTACATTTTACAGGCAGTTGAGAAAGCGTTATTTACATGGGGGTTTGGGGTGCTGGAGGTTATGGGACTAGTAACCGCGCTTTTAGCTGGCACCCTTTGGCACCACTACAGCTTCCAAAGTCTAGGACTTTCTCTCCTAGCTTCCATTTGTTTCTCTGTAAAATGGAAGCAGCGGACAGGATGCGGCGGCTCACGCCTGTAACCTGAGCACTCTGGAAGGCGGAGGATCGCTTTCAACTAGTTCGAGACCAGCCTGGGCAACAGAGGGAGACCCCCCAACCTCCGCCACTTCATCTCTATAAAAATTTTTTAAAGAGTTAGCCGGTTGTGGTGACGCGAGCCTGTAATATCAGCTACGCGGGAGCTGAAGCAGAAGAATCGCTTGACCCCGGGAGGTCGAAGCCGCGTTGAACCGAGATCGCGCCACTGCATTCCTGGGCGGCAGAGTGAGAACCTGTCTCCAAAAACATAAACAAATAAAATAAAATAATAAAAATATAAGGAAGTTGAATCCAATTCAGTAACGCGGTCCCTCAGGACCTGGTAGTTTTAATCCCTGTAGGATCCTCTCCGCGGGCTGGCACGGGATGTGCAGACAGAGGCTTGGGCGGCCCCTCTGTAGCGGGTGTGGGAGGACACACGGTCCCGCATCAAAGCTTTGGGATGACAGCGCCTCCGGGGAGCATGAATGCGGAGCCTCTGTTTTCAGTCGACTTCAGATGCGTCTCCACTTTTTTTCCGCTGTAGCCGCAAGGCAAGGAAACACTTCTCTTCCCACACTGCGGAGGCTGAGGAGTGCGCCGGGTGTTCTTTTCTCCTCGAACCCAGAACTGCGGGCTGAGTCCCTGCCGAGAAAATCTCCAGAAAAACCAGGAGAGCAAAGGAGGGCGTCTGGTAGGCTTGGAGGGGTAAGCTGGGGCCTCCACGGCACCAGCAGCGGGCCCACCTGCGAAGGGGCGGGACCTCGTGGCGCTGGACCAATCAGCACCCACCTGCGCTCACCTGGCCTCCTCCCGCTCGCTCTGGCGGGGCGCGGTGCTCAAAGGAGCGGGAGCTGAGTAAGACACTAGCTCGCCGTCGCAGCAGCTACCTCACCCCTCTCTCTCCAGCCATGGGGCTCCCTCGTGGACCTCTCGCGTCTCTCCTCCTCCTCCTCCAGGTACTCCACAGCCTCGCCCTGGCCCCGGCTGGGACCTCTCTTTGGGGGACGGGCGGGGTCCACACGGGGAGGTGGCGTCTGGGAGAGCTCCGGGCTGCGCTATCTGGTGTCAAGGGAGTCCCGGAGGGCCCCGGAGAACACCGCAGGATGGAAGTACAGGGCCGGGCACACCTGTGACCCAGCCTCGCTCTTCCCGCTCTGTCCTACGGCGCAGGTTTGCTGGCTGCAGTTCGCGGCCTTCGAGCCGTGCCGGGTGGGCTTCGGGGAGGCTGAAGTGACCCTGGAGGCGGGAGGCGCGGAGCAGGAGCCCGGCCAGGCGCTGGGGAAAGGTAAGACCCTCCGGGTGGAACCGCCGGGCAGGCGCCGCACGTGACCTCTCTGGTGTGGCCCGCTCGTGGGGTGTTCGGGGCTGGGGCAGGGGACTCCTGGCGTCACCTCAGGTCCAAGGGAGACGCGGAACGCGTCTTTGGAGGCGGGGACGACTGGGATTAGGAGTGGTGGCTGACAGAGAAGGCTGAGCAGCAGAGCGCCTTTGACATCCGGTAGCCACTTCCTACCTTGACCCCCTCCTCCGGGGTGCCGGATGGCTGAGCCCCTCACCCAGTCTCGACGTGGGAAGTTCTACCCCGCTGGCTCCAGCAGAGGAATGCGCCGGCCACATTCTTCCCCCAACCCCCTCGCAGGTGTGGGGATGAGCCTGCCCCGGGCAGCCCCTTTCGCCCCTCTCGGGCCCCTTTGTGAACCGTGCTTTGTGTCTTCGACAGACAGACCGGGTCTGTTGCTCTTCTCCGCGCTCCCCTACCCCGCCCCCCTTCTTCCTCGGCAGCTGGAATGCACTCTTAACCCTGCCCTTTCCGGAGGGCCTGCGCCCCTGCAGCCTTCCTGGAAACTGGGCCTTGGCACACCTGGGCTGGGGCCATCACCTACGGGACAACCCGGTCCCCAGCGTCTAGGGCCTGGGATGCTAGGTCACTGGGGGCAGTTGCGGGGGAGAGTGTCCCAAGCTGGCAGGCCTTGGGCTGTGGGGGCGATGGACGAGAGATCAAAGCACATTTTTGATCCCTCAGTTACTCCTCCCCACCCTACCCCAAGTTCAAAAACCTGAGGGTGGGGGTGCCCTTTAGTGGGGAGAACCAGTGTGTTATGAGACCCAGGGTGTTGCTGGCTAGTGGGGGGCTTTCTCCCATTTTGGGGGGGGAGGAACTGTAGCTTACCTGGCTTTCAAAACATTGAGAACCCTTGCTACTTAGCATTCTTCTAAAGTCTCCATCAGCATACACCTCACCCCAGGCACAAATTCCCACTGCTTGAATGTGAATGCCTAGAGGACAGAGTGGCTCTCTTTTATTTCTCCAAAAGAGGATTGAGGACCTTGAGTCTGTGGAAGCCCTTTTTAAAAAATTCTTTCCCCGAATAACTCTGTAGATTGACAAAACAATTAACACCCAGGCTAGGCCAGGTTCCTTAAGCCCTTGGCTGTAGGGAGCCGAGGAGGGGCATTAAGAAGCCATGCCTCATAAACTTTAAATTCTTCCACAGGGGTTTATTACTGGCTGGCTAACAAACTGCAACTCAGCCAACCTGTAAAAATGTGAACTCGGGCAGGGCCCCAAATCCAATTCCGGCTCCCTGAGGAAATCTTATTGCTAACCAGACTTCCCCCATTGTCAAATTTCTCTGGCACAGTCTCCCAGAGCAGGCTATAGCTCTGAGTGCTGTCTGTACCTTATCTTTTCTACTGAAGCAAGAAATATCAGATTAGCTGTCACTTCACTAGGCTTGAGGTTTTGCGGGGAAGCGGTGATCAGGTTTTCGATTTCATGGTTGGGTTAGCGAGTGCTTCGCAATGACGTTAGGCATTTTAAACCTTTAGAGGAAATTCAACGTTCTCGGATGTCTGCTTTACGGTTGTAAAAATGGTGAGTTTGTGCCAGCAGCACACCTGGGTTATACAACAAAGGGTGGGTTAATGCGCTTTGGCGCACCTTGAAACTCCCTGCCACATGGCTGGTTCTTAGAGTAGACTTTCCGTGGCATGGGCTGCTGCTTTCTTTAAGTAAAATCTAATTTCTGGGTCCAGTTGGTCCCCATAAATTGGGACTTCCCAACAAAAAACTTCGATATTTCTCCACTTGGTCTTCAGCTGGCACTTTTCTACCACTCCACCGTAGTTCCTCATCCTCAAAACACAGAGCCCAGCCTGGATCCAGCCACGTTGAAAGGGTTATCCTGCAGGAACATATACACTGTAAGTTTAGCCAAGCACACAAGTTTCCATATTGCTAAGGAACAATCACCCCCGTTGTTCGCCCTGGGTTATGAATATCAAGGGTGTCTATGAAGTTCAGCTCAAAGAACTGATCTGATGTAATTAATGCTTGTTTGTATGTGCATCTTCCTCTTCAAAGCCCTTCTGCAACTCTGAGCTTGCTTTATCCTCCTAACATTCCCTTGAAGCAGGTGAGGTAAATATTAAACAAGTTGAGCTCTTAATCTGAGCAGTTTTGAACTTCAGAAACCCCGTAGTCTAGCCTTGCCTGAGGTTCTGAGGGTGGAGAAACAGAGGCACAGCTTAATGGATTGGATTCATAAGACAAACAGCTTGTGAACTTCTTTAAGAGTGACAGACACAACTCTTACCTCTTGGTATATGTCCAGGACCTGGCACCTTACAGGATGCCCAGTAGGTATCTGCATAAATTATGGCAACCTTGTGAAGGACGGCCCATTTTATAGATGAAGGCTGAGTGATGGTGGCTTCACCAAGTCATCACTGCAGTGATCAGCTGGGATTTGAATGGAAATTTCTGACTCCTGAGTTCCCTGGCTTTTTATTTTTTATTTTTATTTTTTGAGATAGGGTATTGCTCTCTCAGCCCAGGCTGGAATGCAGTGGTGCAATCACAGCTTACTGCAGCCTCTACCTCCCGGGCTCTAGTGATCCTCCTACTTCAGCCTCCCTAGTAGCTGAGACCACACATGTGCTACCACACCTGGCTAATTTTTAATTTTTTGTAAAGATGGGGTCTCACTCTGTTGCCCAGACTGGTCACAAATTCCTGGGCCCAAGCAGTCTTCCCACCACAGCCTCCAAGCACTGAGATTACAGGTATGGTCCACTGTGCCCGGCTCCCTGGCATTTTTTACTACCAGAAAGTAGGACCTGAGTGGAGAGGGTGGAATGTTGGATGCCTGAATCCCACAGCTATAAATAATACCCCCTCTCAACCCCGCCCCAAGAGGGCTTAGTCATTTATTTTGTTGTTGTTGTTGTGGAGTTTTCCAGAAATATTCATGTAGAGGAAAGTGGTTTGGGTTTATTCTCTAATGACCCAAGTGAGGGGGCTTGACTAGCTTAAGAGGAAAAAGGTTAATCTGGAGGAAGGGGAGCAGGAACATTCCCCCACAATCCCACAGTCTGGGGACCATCTTCCTTGGAGTGTGGCCTGGAAGCAGACAGTGGAGGGGTGGGAGGGGGGAACTTGCATGGTATTAGTGCAGTGATTAAAAGTGAGTGCATGGTATTAGTGCAGTGATACAAAGTGCCTGTAATCCCAGCACTTTGGGAGGCTGAGGCGGGTAGATCATGAGGTCAGAAGTTTGACACCAGCCTGGCCAACTAGTGAAACCCTGTCTCTATTGAAAATACAAAAATTAGCTGGGCGTGGTGGTGGGTGCCTGTAATTCCAGCTGCTTGGGTGGTCGAGGCAGGAGAATCACTTGAACCCGGGAGGCAGAGGTTGCCATGAGCCGAGATCATGCTACTACACTCCAGCCTAGGGGACAGAGCAAGACTCCATCTCAAAAAAAAAAAAAAAAAAAAAAAAAAGTAGCCTACAGTGGGTCTACTCATCCTTAAGAGTGAGCAACTGAGAGAAGCAGCTTAATGGCAGTCAAACAGATAGAGTCATTCATTATGGCCTTCAGCAGGTTCAGCTGACCCATAGTCAGCCTTTAGGTCATCATCAGCTTTGGGAGGAAACTTCTGCATTCAAAGATGTATCTCAGTGAGCACAAGTTAACATCAAGATGGTTTTGTCTATTTCAGTTCTGGGTGTAAAAACTGCCTTTTATTCTGGAAGCCCCTACTCTGGGGTATGCCCTTTATTTACATTTCATTCTTCCTGTAAGCATATATTTAGCATCTGCATAGATCAGGCTGCTGTTCTAGAACTTCGGCTAAAGCAATGAAAAAAGCAAAGTCCCTGCCCTTGGGGAGCTTACAGTCTAATTTAGCAATTTATTTCCTTCCTTCCTTCCTTCCTTCCTTCCTTCCTTCCTCCCTCCCTCCCTCCCTCCCTCCCTCCCTCCCTCCTTCCTTCCTTCCTTCCTTCCTTCTCTTAAAAACAAAGGTTTTATTTCGTTTTGTCCACAGTAGGTATTTCACATTATCTCATGGTGCAGGGCCCCGGGATGGGGGTCCCTGTGCAGTACTTGGCGGGGCGTGTGGCCAGGGGAGATGAAGCAGTATGCTAGCTGCTCAGGCCCAGAAGGGGAGAAGGAGGGCTGGAGGCTCCTTAAAACCTACTGAGGGGCCAGGCATGGTGGCTGACAACTGTAATCCCAGCACTTTGGGAAGCCAAGGCAGGTGGATGACCTAAGGCCAGGAGTTCGAGACCAGCCTGGCCAACATGGTGAAACCCCATCTCTACTAAAAATACAAACATTGGTGGGGTGTGGTGGCGTGTGCCTGTAATCCCAGCTACTTGAGAGGCTGAGGCTAAAGAATTGCTTGAGCCTAGGAAGCAAAGGTTGCAGTGAGCTGAGATCATGCCACTGCACTCCAGCCTGGGCAACAAAGTGAGACTCTGTCTCAAAAACAAACAAAACCTACTGAGGACCACAGTGGCGGTGGTTAGCATGGAGGGGGGTCAGGCTTAGCCCCAACAACTCAGAATTCTACTTCCTTGTAAGGGCCTCAGTTTCCCCACCAGCCCCTTGGGCAGGCCTGAGGGTCTGAGATCTGATGGTCTGAGGGTCCTAGAGAAATCCAGCCACTCAGAAGCCTGAGATATTTTAGCATCGTGGCCAGGCCCCCTCTCCCAGGGGACCCATTTCCCAGCACCCTCTCCACTGGCCCCACCTCATTCCTTGGGGTAAAAAGTATTTCTTCTTCTTTCTTCTTTCCTCCTCCTCCTCCTCTTCCTCCTCCTCCTCTTCTTCTTCTTCTTCTTTCTTCCTTCTTCTTTCTTCTTTCTTCCTTCTTCTTCCTTCTTTCTTCTTTTTGAGACAGTTTTACTCTTGTTGTCCAGGCTGGAATGCAGTGCCACAATTGTGGCTCACTGCAAACTCCACCTTCCGGGTTCAAGCAGTTCTCTGCCTCAGCCTC